CCCAGTCTTCCAGGACAGTTGCCCGCCTCTAAGCTACCTATTAGTTCAGAGGCTCTTAGCCCAAAAGGAAGGGCCGTTGACTTCAAAAATCTTTCAGCTAAAAAAATATCCTAATTCTTCGAGATTTACTTAGAGACCATTCTAAACCAGTAATGGCAGCAGGATCGGATTCATAAAGAAAAATCGGGTGTTCAGAGCTCCAAACAGATCCTAAGTTGCTTTAATACAGGGGATGGAAAGTTGTCTGGCAACTGCAGAAATAAAGGAAACTTTAACTTGTCAGGTAACTTTGCAACAGTTAAGTGTGGCCTGTCAGACTCACCCTTAGACTTACGCTTTTTAGATAGAGACGAAAAGGAAAGATTGTTGTTGGAGCAAAGAGTGACCTTTTTTCCTATGCATTTATTTTTTAAAAAAAATGCATTGGACAAAAATTTAAAAAATTCTAGTAGATTCAAAAGACAAAACCAACGGTCAATGTGTGCACCAAATCATTCGCAACTGAGTGTTCCTAAACTTCGGCCTGTCAGTGGTCAGCAACATGTATTAGAGTAGGAGAACGTGTGTCTCTTGGGCATTACCAAACCTCTTCAGAGAACGTTACGGTGAGCTCTGCTGCAATGAAAACTTGTACTCGGGGCCTTCTGCTAAGCATGCTCACACTGAGGATGAAAAGATGAAAACCACAGTCTTCATGGTACTGAAGTGAATGATAAGACTGGTTTTCAGGTACAGTATTAACAGAAAGCTTTTTTACGTTCTTTCAAGTGTGCCTTGGACAATAGGTGTGCCTTAGAAGTCAAAAAAATCCATTCATTAGGCAACACTCGTACATTCAGCATATTTTTGAACATATTTTGAACCTAAGCACTAAATAATTTCTTGGTCATAATTTGCAAGAGACCTCAGCATGCTTTAGGTTTTGACAAAGTGGAGATACTCTTTTAGGTCTGTACTCTGCCCATAAAAAGAAAGATACTCCTGGTGGGTCAGAGTTCCAGCAGAAGTCTGATCTGCAGGACTTGGTCTGGCAGCTATGAGAGCTCAGGTCCTTCCCCCGGCAGTGCTGCAGGGTTAGGAAGAGATTCTGGGCACCTGTTCACCTATAGGTTGTGATATTCATTAACTGATTTTATGTGATAACAAAACCTCACAAAATATTTCCATCCAAAATAAATTTTACATTGTATCTTATGGCTTTCATCAGGTTCATAGTTAAATGCCTGGATAATGATATTTTCTCTCTGTTAAGCATGTGTTGCTAATCATGGCTATCTTTGCAGTCAACTGCGGAAGCCAAAATCCATTGAAATAAGCAGTTTTTGTATGACACTTTTGTTGCACTGAAATGCCCATCCAGGAGCGGGGAAGGTAATCGTCAAAGATCTCATCACACATTCTGTAATGACAAAGCAGTTTCTTTAGTCATGGGCAAATGGATGCCTGCAGCATCAGTTCGGATTTGCAGACCGCAACTAGATTCTCCATTGCATTTTTGTTGGACACAACACTCCTTCAGTTGCCTTTTTAGAAGAAAAAGGTTGCTAAGGACCGTCCTGGTTTCTGGAGATTAAATTATAGTGTTAACAAACAAAATGTCTGCAACTGAAATGCTGATTGGGACAGTGTATTTATCTCTTTGTTACCTTGAGGTTGGTATCTAAACCTCACTGCAGTATTTTGGTTCTGCTGCAGGTCAATACGGCCACTTTTTCTGGGATTTCTTGTTACTTCTTAGTTATTTGTTGGCCTCCAGCGTCTCAAATCCTTTTATGTCATGAGATTTGTGGATGTAAGTAAAATTCACTGCCCAATCACCTGCTCTTGCTGGGTCTGGGCTGGTCTTCTGGCTCTTTTTGTTAGCACCTTGCCTTCAGTGAGCAAATACCTGAAGTTCAATTTGGCTCTGCTGCAGTTAAGGTCAGCACTCAAGCAGGACCGAGGTACCCCATGTCTGTGAGGTCCCTGGTCGGAAGAACAACCTGGCTTGCTCCATACTCAATGGTGATGATAGCCCATATTAAAAGAGAATATATGATCCAGGTTTTTGGTTTTTTATAGCCCTGAGTTAAGAGTAAAGTATAGTTGGATAGTTTGGGGTTTTTTTTTTTCATGGATGTAGAGGTGACTATGGTAATCAAAGATGCAGTTTTCTTTCTGATGTGTAGCACTACCCCGAATGCATTAAGAACCACAGGGTTGCCACTTCATCTTTGTATTCTTTCCAGTTCTTTGCATTTGCTAGTGCAGAGAGGGGAGCCCTGTTGCATTGTTTAAAACCAGAAGAGTTTGGAGCAAACCTGTTGTTGTTGGGGCTTGTTTTCTTGCCAGCCTTGGTGGAATGAACTTCTGCTAACTGCCCAGATAAGGAAAACCCATCAGTGCAAGATTGATGGATATGCTAATAAAAACTATGTACAAGAAGAGTATTTCCCATTCATGCATTTGCCATTAACATGAGGCTATCAAGGTTGCAAAAGAGCTTTGGGTGGGAGTGGCTGTCAGGGGTACTGAGGTCTGTTAGTGTCTTTTCTGCTGATTTCCTTGTGGGTTGATGAACTCCCTTGGGTTCAGCATTTTGCCCTCTGTATTCATGGTTAGTTTGGTTAGTTTAGGCTATGGGCTAGTGACCTGAGTTTCAGAGCTGATGCACATGTGCTTCTGCTACCTTTGAAGTGAGCAGGATTTAGGTATGTTGATGGGTATTCAACGTCTCTGGAAATGAAGCCAGTTACATGAGTTCTCAAGTTCCTAGGTTGATGTGCCTGAAGGAAACTATACAAGCTTGAAAATGTTGACTTTAAAATATACTTTGGTTTCCAGTCTTGTAAGTAGACAAAATAAATTCCACACCACATGGGGTACCTAGGAACTTAATTAAGGTGAATTAAGTGTTTTAAAATCTTTGCAGAACAGAAACTGCAAAGTATGTGCAGAATAATAGCAACACCTGAATGTTCATCAAGGAGAACTAGAGTTTTGGATTGCAGGTATAAGAAACGGCTTTCAGGATAACAGATGGATAAGTTTATCTCAGCTTTTTGCCATGGTATCAGCCTGCCTGCTCACAGTTAACATTATTTTAACCTTCCCTGACCAGGACCCACTACTGTTAATTGAACACAAGATGATCATAATAGCCTTGCTAGGGACACTGTGAAGCACGGTATGTAACCGAATAGTATATTACACTGTGAAATAAGGACTGCGAAGAAAGAGAGTTTCAGATGTAATGCAGAGCATTTCACATGGTAATCTTGCGTTACCCAAATAGCAAACATGTAGTAATGCAAGAAAGGGAGAAACTTCATCTTGCTAAGGTATTACACATATTTTAAAATCCTTCCTTCATTGTAGTGTTTCACTGAATTACATTTTTATTAATATTTGGAAAAGTCTTCTGCATATAAGCAGTGATCATTTCCATGTCTTTCGTATTTTAGAATGTATTTTAAGATTTTAACAGTACTCTTAAATGCAATATGAAACACAAATATAGCGTAGTAAATATTTTTTTTTTCAAAACCTAAAATGTAGCAATTCACAGCAAAACTTAAGAAGCAGAATTGGCTTCAGGAAAACACATCAGTTTAAAACATGCGTATCTTTCTCTAGTCACTATATTGTCTTTACTTGGTTCACTGGAAGAGCTCTCAATATAGATGAATTAGATACTTTGAGTAAAAGAACCCATCTCTTCTTTGCCATGTGAGAGTTTCCTGTGCTTTTGGTAGAGGCTGTGCTAGCTATTAGGTTCTTATTAAACTTTTATTAAGGGCTTCCGTTCGTGCCGCTTCCCATTTTAAACAAGTAAAAATACTAAATATTTTTTTAAACACTCCCATATAGCCGTGCTGCTCCTTCTCAAGAAGCAGTAGCTTCTCAGATTGTTTAGCTGAAAAAGTAATGTTAAGGATAGTTGCAGCTGCCAAAGTCTGGAAACTCAGAGTTACATCTGACATTTCATTCTTCACCTTAACTATTGAGCCTTGGCCATTCATTGGTTTTTCACAGTGCTTTGGAGTTAGAAGGGAGTTTTACAGATGAAAGATGAAAATCAAAATAAACTCCTTTATCAAGTAAACCTTGCAAGGGCATTCTGAATTTTACAATACACGGGGAGTTGATTGTGATATAACGTACAACGCAAGAGGGTTGGAATAAACAATTTATTCTCTATCGTTAGGGATGGCCATGCATAACTGACTTATGGCTCTGGTTTGCTCTGCCACTTGTTACGTGTGCAGTCATCCCTAACTCATACCAAAAAATAGTTCATCATACTCCTGTGTTGCATCGCTTTTATCAAACGTTCTCTCATTAAAAACTTTACTGGGGACATCGAACGTTTCAAGACACTGGCAATGCTTATGAACGCTTTGCCCGGAGCTTGGTCTTTGCTGAGTGGAGTCGGTGCCAACAGTGATCATGAGATGGCTCCTGATGCCCTGCGCAGATGCAGTTTGGTGGGCCAGTAGCAGTCATCGTTTGACAGTACATAGTGGGTTCAGTGCAGAGGTTGAAGGCTGGCTTGTCAGAAGGACGGAAGGGCCGCAGGGGCTCCCCCCAGGTCGGGAGCGAAGCAGGGGGTGCAGGAGAGCGTGGGAGAATGCGGCAGCGTCACTGCCCCACTGCCCCCGCGGCATAGCTCCTGCCCTGCGGTGTGGGTTTCATTTCCTCCGCTGTCAACTGAGGACCTGCTCTGAGCCCTAAATCCTTTTAAAAACAAACTAGGCCATCTGCTAGATAATTCCCTGGCCATCCTCGTGATAGGTATATCCGCAGTCTGTAGCTGTCTGTTGGATAACCATCTGAAAGGTTTTGCTCCTAAGCATCATGTGGATCCGAGCCTTCAGCTGCATCCATGCTCCCTTCCTGGAGAAGGTTCCTTTTCGGCAGTGCGTGTCCACAGCACAACCTGGCTCATTTTGCCCCATCTTCTGAACAGAGGATGCCGTGCTGCTACAAATGGAAGTCGGTGGGTCCCCAATACTGTCTAGGTAGTAGCTGGACCTAAGCCACTGGTGTGCCTTGGTGGTAAAGCACCCGCTGCTGGGGTGCACTGCTGAGATTGGAGCTGCAGGGTGGTGGTTTTACCCCACAGCGTGCCGTTGTGGTGGCAGGCTTTGGTTCACAGCATTCTGTACCTTTCTTGGCCAGGAGTGTTTGCTGCAGACCGACACGCAGATTGCTACAGTGATGTTGTCATGCTTGGAAAACGGTTGGTGTTTGGCAAGGGTGCGTGCCGTCAAATGCATGGTCCCCCTGCACATTCATTTGTATCGATCCATTTTTTTCAGGCTATGTCACCTTCCTACTTGACGGGAACATTTTGAGCGTAGGCCTTTCTTCCAGCGTTATCACACCCAAGCTTAGTATAACTGATGAAAGTTCAATTATATGCGAAGTGACTATTAAAGCATCAGGGCTCATCTGGGGGTCTGGGCCTCCCCTCCCCTTTTCACTTACAATTGTGCTAAATCCCTTAATGTTGCAAAGAAATCGTACATTCATCAGGTGGAGCGTTGGAGGCCAGGGTGCAGATAACCGCTTTTACTGCATATGAGACATTGCAGTCCTGTTCTTAAGAACTGCCAGGCAGATTGGGAATCACGGTCACGGTTAATAGCAGCGAATTGCCAGCTCTTGATGGGTGGGTAGTCACTCCTTTCAGTGGTTGCCCCCTGGGGGAGAAGGTAGAAAAACAGAGGGAGGGAATTAGAGTGACTTTGCACAGTTGAGCAGGTTCATGCCGCTGGATCAGTGGCAAGCACTGGCAGGGCTCCACTCTGGGGAGGCTCACAACAACATCACAGTCTCATTTTTACCAATTGGTGTTGCTATAGCCAGTGGTGCACAGGGGGAGAGCAAAGAGAAGGGGGGGAGCCGGGGGGGAGAGTGAAAGCAAGAGTCTGGATTAAACAAACAAAAGTGCTTGTAAGTAGCATTTAACCCATAACCATTAGCCCAGTGCTGCTAATTGTACTAAACTGTATATCTGAAGTTCAGTGTGTGATTAAAGAGTTGGCTCACAAACTCTCTGCATAACCTTAATTTTTTCAAGGTTCTTTGAGTGTAGAATGGCTTATAATAATGATTTTGACTAATACGATTTTTGACATGCAACTTTAATGCTTAACCTTAGTACAACTCCAGAGCATTTCATGTGTATTCAGCTGTAAAGAGTGATGATTTAAAGGGATAATATAAGAAAAAGGTCGTTCTAGAATGAACCTCTAACAAATTGCATAAAGGAAGCTTATTATGCCATGAGTAGAGAGATATGCAGCTTTTCTGATCATTTTTCTGCTTGGTTCAAAAAATTGTTGAGACATGATTGGGGAAAGAAACACAAAAAATGAAATAGAAAACTGCAAGCAGTGAACATTCTTTTGATGGTTATGATTTTGTTGCCACTAAAAATACTCCTCAGTAATGCGGTTGTTCATCTTTCCTCTTGTTTTGGGTGAAGAATTCGTTCCAATAAGAAAATGCTGTTATTGGTTGGAGGATTGCCTCCCGGACCTGACCGGCTACCCAGCAATTTGGTTCAGTATTATGATGATGAAAAGAAGACGTGGAAAATACTGACAAGTAAGTGGTTTATTTTTGTACAGTTGTCTTGATGAATTTAAAAATGTGGTTAATCAAATTAGACACTTTATTGATTTGTTTCTCTTCAGGGATTTGTTTATGTATCACAGGGGGCTTCACAATGGAGCAATAAATTGAGATTGCAGAAGATGCTAATTTTATAATAGGATAGGCCTAAATTAACATTGGCTTAAAATCATTCCAGTAAGTTTTTTAGGTAAACTTGTAAGTCTTTCGTAGTGCAGCATGAATACATGCATATTTATGTACATACGAATAAAATCTGGTTTAGGAAAAAAAAAAGGCAGTGTTCGAGACAGTTTTCTCAGAGTCAGATCCCTGGTAAGCCATAGTGCTAGAGCACACCTTTGATTCTTTTTTGCATTTTCATTTCCTTCTTCCAGCTTTATCTGTTGTCCACAATCATTAAATGCTGACAGAAGCATGGATAGAATATATCAGCTACAATAAACAGTGCATGGAGGCTTCTATCACAAAATTCTTTCCCACCTTCTTTTAAAGGTTGATTGTGCTTTAGAGTAAGTATTTTGCCCCGAGCATCGAGATTTGGAACTTATTGTTATGTCGGTTGCGATTCCCAGTCTGACTTGGTCATGGAATCAAATCATAGCTTCTTGAGTGCAGCAGGCTGTGTGTGCATTGGTCCCCTTGTGGCTAAACTGGCTGCATTGGTCAATAAAACTAAATTTTAACTGTCAAAATTGCCCAAAGCACTATAGATAAAATAATAAATGAGCAATTTTGATCCATAAATCAAAGCCATACTTCTAAAACTGGACAGCTGCTAAAACCTGGGTTTCCTAATAGACCTGCTTTTTTCCCCCCAGTAAAATACATTTTACAGAACTCTGTTCCTCATCCCTTATCCAAAGCCCTTTAACGGGATACATCTGCATTAATATTACATGCACAGGTCAGGATGAAAAAATAATTAAAAAGACTGCTATGATGCAGGACTTTTAAATGATACCTCTGCAAATTGCTCTCTCCCATGGAAAATTTAGGAGCCTTTCTCAAAGTGCTGCAACGTAAAAAGACTGCTTAGGTATAGATACCCTGGACTAATAGTTGAGGTTATTGTGTAACAAAGGTCATATAAACTGTACATTAGAAAAGGCCACAGCATCTGTACTGGGAAATACACTACACTTCACGTTTCTTATAATAATGAGATACAATACTCACCTCTGTACACTGCTTCTAAGGAAATTCTGAAGATGGTAAGTCAGTGAAAAATCAGTGATACTATGTAAGGCAGTAGTGTTCAGATAGGCAGGAGAAATGGATCTTGCTTCAAGATATGAACTCTCCACTGAATTAAAGTAAAAAACTTTATTCTGAATCTTAGTTATCTATAGATCTGTCAGATTTTGTAAGAATGAAATTTATTCAGTTCTTGGTTACTTAACGGTGTGATACTGTCCCCAAGACTGTGGGAAAACTGGACCCAGGGGCAAGATACCTAAATGCTCTAGTTAAAAATCCATCGCTAGTATTTGAATAACATCACCATCTATGGTGGTGTTGAGAAGTGTTTCTGAATATTTTTATGTAATTTTATCAAAACAATGTGGCCTTTTCTTTGTTACCGCTAACAAATAGAAACAAATAGTAAACAAAAATTCTTTTTCCATTCTGGTTAGTGCACGTAGCCTTCTGTGCTATGGTTAAAAGATAATACATCTGTTACAGTCCTAGCTAGCCCATGTTCAAGCACTTGGTGCTCCCAGGATCTGTCTCAGTGTTGGCTGTCAGATGCACAGCCCTCTGGTGACTTTGGTAATCCTGTTCTTGCAAAAACTGCTAGAAAAGGATGCCTTCTTGGCCTGGACTACTGTTCCAGGATGTCTTTTTACAGTGAAAAAGACTAAATGTTAACAAGCATGGTTTCTTAGAAAATGTTATTACTACTCATCAAATGGTAGCAGTAATTATTTAAAAAAAAAAAAAAAAAGGTGAAATAAGAGTTTCAAGTATCCTCTGCTTTATTTTCTAACTTAATAGAAGAGAGAATGGGAAATGGAGGCAAGTGGGAGTAGGACTTTTTCCTGTCCTTTCCATAAAACACTGAAGGACTATACAGCATGGGAGTGGAGGCCTTTGAAGAACTGTGACTGGGCAGTTTTAGGGAAGACCACAAACTAATCACATTACAACACGGTGATAGTTCATGCAGCCATGGTGTTGTATCAACATAGTATGGCATTTATGGTTTGTGGGAATTTAAGGACATTGTTCTATCTTTATTTTTCATGTACTTTTTGCTATTTAGGAATAAGTGCATTCCTTTAGTATATTTTAGTATATATAGAAGTATATCCCTTTAGTAGTACAGAAGTACTTCCTTTACCCTTTTGCCTCTCTCCCAGTCCACAGTTTTGGAAAATAATTGGTCTGTTTATTTTTTATTCTTACCAGAGATGTACAATCAGGAGCGGAGGAGGAAGATTCTTCTTGTTTCTTTTTCACTTGTTTAGACAGGGCTGTCAGTCCTGAGGTTGCAGTTCACCCCCAGCTCATCAGTGCAAATGAGGAGTTTGTTCTCTAGAGAAGAGGGACAGAGCAAAAGCAGTGTTCTGCTCGTAAGGTTCTGTGATGGGAAGAATCTTAGTCCTTGTAGTCTGGTATTTTAGGGCATTCTATCTTACTGTCACCTTAGGTGTGTTTGATTTCTTCCTGTAATAGCAAATGTTTACAGAGTCTTTTCTGTAACCTGCGGCCCTCTAGTAGACTCTTCCACACACCAACAAAAAGCGAGGCTTTGCACTTAGGGGCTTGTTGATCCAACGTGGATGGGCATGGAAATTCCCCTTTCCCTCCCCCAAACCCATCTACATGACTAATTTTCTGCTCTCTGTGTCAGTGGCATTTGGGGGTAGGGAAGGTGGGAAAGAAGCTTGCAAACACATAGTCCTGGGTGTAGTGGCAAGGCCATTGAGGAGGAGATGGATGAGAGGAGACGGAATCTCCTCTTGTCGCCCTCCACTGAGAGGAGCCCCAGAAGTTACTCAGCAGGGGGGCCTGCAAACCCCTTTGGGAAGGAGCTGTTTGCCTGTTGCCTTTTTCCTTCTCAGCGTGGAGAGTGGCTGTCGCAAGCGCTCCGTTGCTTAGGGCTCTGTGTCCTGCCTCGCGTGATGCATAGGGAACGGGAGAAGATCAGCCGTCGGAAACTACTGACGCCATGTAAGCCGTGGCGCGGCACTTGGAGCTATGAAGACAGTTGCAGGTGGAACAGCACAAGCTATCGAGTATGACAGCTCAGCAGAGTAGCAATCTCATTTTGTTCCCGCGACAAGACTAGATCTATTGGCAGGGGATACTGCCCACCTCTCTCTGCCTGGCTAGCCAAAGCACCAAATGCATCAGTACTAATGGGAGTAATTCTAAAGGTATCAGGAAAACAACTTGCCTTGTTCATAGATCCAGAAGAGGAGGGGAAGCATGCACCCATTTCCAATTTTTTAATGTCATCATCTATAGGCAAGAATGCTATGGCTCAAGGGATCGGTAGATTTTTCACAGTCTAGTATTACTGTGTATTTTTCCTGTCTGGTATTTCTCAGAGAGTTATTTTTTCTGTGTTGGCAACAAAGAATAGAGACAGAATAAAGAAAAAGGAGGAGAAAGTAAGTGGCATTTTACAAACATTTTCTGCCACCTGATTTTACTTGACGTGGGCACAGCCCTAATCTGAGATTCATAATGTGCATGTTGCGGTTTAATTTGAAAGTGCTACTTACTGCACAGTTGTGCCTGCGCAAAGTACGGTGAACCAATCCTCACTGTGTGGTTTCCTTCCAGGCTTGCCTACACGTGGGCAAACACCAGTTCATTTTTTAACTGGCCCCCCCTGCCGGTGACACAGACCGAATGGCTGATGGGTGTTTGGTGGTTCTTAGTAACGGCAAAAGTTCTGCTCTGTTAATGGTGTTTCATTATGCCATGATATTTTGCAGTCCTCATAACTACGTGCTGGATGTGGGGCAGTGAGGGGGGTGTGTGTCCCTGTGTCACCACCTCACGCCTGGCTGCTCAGAACCAGCCACTGCTGCTTTGGTTTTAATTACCAGCTACAGTCCTGCCAGGAGTCCTTGTTTAATCCTAAAACTCCTTTGGTGGGTTGTTTTAACTGCAACGTTTAAGATTAATTAAACTTTAAGGAAGTGAAACAATGTTTTGTTTGTTAGAATTATTCCATAATAATTGCAAGTTTCAAAATCCAGAGCCTATAAAGATTTTTTGTGTTCAGAATTGCATAGCTCTCCCAAAAAACCCTACTGCTAAGGCAATGATGTATTACTTTCACTTTCATTATATGTTTTTAATCAGAGCGTGACTTCACACTAGACAAAGCGATGCTTTATGCATGGTCTCCCTTGTTTTTTGCTAAAATCTTTTGACATGATTAATTTTACTTTAATGCTTTTGTCTTGTTGTAATGGTAAGGATGATGGGTATAAGCCAGGGCAAAAAATACATGCTTTTCTGTCATAATGCCTCTAAGCATTTAAAAAATATATTAAATGAAAGAAAAAAATACCACAAGAGACTGATCCAACTGGAATTAAATTTCTTGCTACGTGAACAGAGAATGCAAGAAATAAATAAAAAAGATGCAGTCATTGTTTTAGGGATTTTTTTATTATTTTTTCCATAGCAATGTATCCATCTGTCTGATTAGAACCAATGAGTAGGAGAGAAATTGTGTCTTACAGATTTCTAGGTATACAGTGAATCCTCCTTTCAATGCAAAATTCCTTTTTCTCTAAAGCACAAAAGGGTAAAATATTGGAAAACGTTACTGATCTCTTAGGTGGCATGTTCCATCCATGTGAAGCTGCAGTTGCAGCAGACCTTTCTTTCATATAGGTACTTCGTTTTTCAGTAAGATGCTAATTGTAACGTTCCTTAACCTGCCTAGATAACCACGTCATCTGTGTAAACCATGTAGGTGATTCAGTGAACATCAAAATAGTGGC